GATTCATCCTCAGTTCCACTTTCATCATCAGACTAAGAAATAATAAGCCTTTTATGTTATTTCTTGAGGTAGCTAGGGCATTCTTCTCTAATGTGTCCAAATCCATTACATTCATGAAATTGAACCCCTCTATTCTAATTGGACTTTTCTTTTGTTCTTGTTTTTCTTTGAGAGTCATAGTTTCTTCTAGTGTCAGGATTAATGTTCTGGACACTAGGTATTGAATTCCTCTCCATTCTCTTTAGCACTTGGTTGAATTGTCTTCCAAGTAGAACAATGACATTTGACATGCCTTCATCAGTGTCTAGATCATATTCTTCTACTCCATCTTTTATATTGGAAACAAAAGCTATGCTTTTATTCTTCTTTTCAGTTCTGTCATTAATGGTCAATTCAAAAGTTTGAAGTGATCCCACAAGTTCATCAACTTTCATGATGCCGATGTTTTGGGCTTCCCCTATGGTTGTTACCTTCATATCAAACCTCTTGGGAAGAGACATGAGAATCTTTCTAACAAGCTTTTCTTCTGATATTTTCTCTCTTAGAGCACTAAAGGCATTAGCTACTTCAAGAACATTCATGTGAAAGACATATATACTCTCATCCTCCATCATCTTTAAATTTTTGAATTTGGTAGTGAACAATTGAAGTCTAGACATCTTCATCTTAGATGTACCTTTATGAGTTGTCTTGAGAATTTCCCAAGCATCCTTGGCTACAGTGCATGTGTTAATTAACCTAAACATGTTTTTGTCATCTCCATTGAATAGGGCATTCAAGGCTTTGGAGTTTCCAAGAGAAGTCTCATCTTCTTCATTGGTCCAATCCTCTTCATACTTCAGATTTTCCTTCCCATCTTTATCTTTAATCATAAGATGTTCCCAACCCTTGATAATAGCTTTCCAAGCTTTTCTATCCTTGGATTTTAAAAAGGCCATCATGCGTGCCTTCCAATAGTCATAGTTGGTTCCATCCAATACGGGAGGTCTGTTCACATTCCCTTCTGCTTCTTTGTCCATTATGCCAAAAAGCATATCTCCCTAGAGCTCACCCAAAATAGAACAGGGTGACCTACTCTGATGTCAATTGAAATTCTGGCACACAGATACCATATGTCAAGACAGATGTCAGGACACTGGGATCAAGACAACAATTAACACTTATGTAGAAAAATAAAAACTTGAATGTAAACAACCACACAGTTAATTGCTAACCCAGTTCAATGCAACATCACCTACATTTGAGGGCATCCAAGCCAGAAAGAAAATCCATTATAATAGTATTAGTTCAAAGCCACAACAAAGAACCACAGGTTTACAAGCTTCTCACCTAATCACTACCTGTGCTAACTTCTACCTAACAACCCCTAGATATGAGACCCCTCTCACTTCTCACCAGTCACACAACAGTGACAAAACTCAACAATAAGAAATATTGGAAGTCACCCTTCTAAAGACACAAAAATCCACTATTTGCTTAAAAGCTTAGGAGTGATTATAACTCAAAACACAATCCAATTCAAGTACCTAAGGAGTACATGAATGGCTCATAAATGCACAAACAAAAATATTCCAACTCAAATGTCAAACGACATAAGAGAGGATCATAAAGAACAAAGATAAAAAAGAACAAACTCTCTAAACCCTAATACTCTTTCTTTCAATACACGACTTCTCTACTTCATTAGGTTTAGAACTTCTCTATAAATAACCTTCAGATCAGCATGGGTTTGGGCTCTTCAATAAAATAAAACGCAAATCACAAAATAACAACTTCAAATCTTCTGCACATAAATAGGAATTGAATTGAAAGTTTCCTAAAAAGTCTCCAAGATCCTTTTTATGAAAAACATGCAAATCTGTCAAGACAGAAGTTCCTAAAATATACCTCCTTGGATTGTGACACTGTGTGAATTAAAATACAATCAAATCTCACACTTTAAATACCAAATTGTCCCAGCCCTAATCTTCTGGTATAACATGTCCGACCACACGTCCTAAAATCACGCTGAACATGTTGTCTGACTGACTAGTCAATACATCTGTCTCAACATCTTGTTGTGAACTTGTTTTAACAAAATTATTGTCAAACTAAAGCCATAGAACTTACACTAGGGACACATTGTTTTGTTATATTTTATGTTTCTTGAGATGTCTGAGTTATTTTAATTAGTAAAATCTGCAGAGATCTATAAATGTTTTCTTTGAAGTTTTGATATTTTATTCGGCTACATGTTACATGTTATAATTTGCAAGAAAGATATATGTTGTGAATGTATAACACAAACGTTGTGTAAAAATTAAATGTGTTATTTTCATATATAAAGGTTGTCTGGTTTTAAGGTGTTACATGTTCCCCATTTCATGCTTTTCGTTACCATTTCCAAGAAAATCATCATAATCTTATTCTATGCTTTCTGGCGCCTCTTCTTCTCTGATCTACTCGCGAGCAAAAATCATTTGATTCTGATAAGTACGACTTTTTCTCTACATTCAAAGAGTTTTGTTTTAGGGTTCCATTCATGACGTCGAACACTATAACATTGTAATCATGTTACTATTTCATTATCCACCAATGACGGATCCCATTTTTTAATTTCCTTGAACCATTTCTTCAGCCAATCGCCTTTGTCATTAACTAGAGCTTAAATTTCTCCCTCACTCGTTCTTCGAGAGGGCGTAAACTAGCTCCAATGGTGTAGCATGGATGGCAAAGTAGCCTTTATAATTTAATATATATTAGATATTGTACGTCATGTCTGAATTCTCCACTGTCCTTATGTAAGCCTTCTCGAATTTACTCCACTCCTCTTATTCTTCAATGTTGAATTCTAGATTAGCAAACAATAGCTTCGTTTCCATGTTGCAGTTTGCTCTTGGTTCCCTTTTTAAAGTTCTTCCTTTTGTTCACAATGTTATGTTTTAGTACCTACACATATGATTTAGAATCTTTGCTTTCTTTGTGAAATGGTTCCCCCAAATGTTTATCTTGCCTAAGCTTGTCCTTAAATAGTTGACCCAACATCCTGCCTCTTGTATCTTCTTTCATTATGTATGTTTATTTTCTAAAATCAGGATTCCATTAAACCCTATAATGACCTCTCATTTGAAACCTTAAAAGATTCACATTGATCTTGTGTCCCGAGAACATTCATAAACATGACAATTACTTATGAAAATATTAACGAGTACATCAGAGACACTTTTTAAGAGCTTAAAAGGATAATTTTTCAAAAATGCATATATTCAATGCATTGAAAATTAAAATATTTTACTTTTTTAAAAAATATTTTCTTTCTCTTTAGCTAAATTAAAAAAAAAATCCGGAACACTTAAAAGCTCATTTAAAGAAGTTTGTCCATTCACTAAAAATAAAAGTTACTCGTATTGCATTTAAGTACTTATTACCCCTATTAGAAGCAATCATAAAGCTTGGTTTTGAATATAGGAAAGGTTTTACTATATAAAGTATCAAATCCAACAATCATTCTCACAAATATAGTGAGATTACACCAAGTAATACCTACCTTCAAATAGACTATACAACAAAATTATTATTATTTTCCATTTTGGAAAAGCACTCTATGATCAATGAATAGTCCTTTATTTTACAATATTTATTATATTCCCCTAAATTGAAAAGGACAAAATTGCCAACAGTGAAATATAAAAAAATCAAGAGAGAGAAGAACCGTTTTTGACGCAAACCTTAAAACTGGAAAAAATAGCGCCCTCGGTTTTAGAAAATCCACGTGTCACTTCCCTATACGTCACATTATTTCACTACTTTCAGGGTCCCATGATTCCTGGATTCCAATGTTGTCATAATGTAAACCATTCCACGCGCATGCTTGCCGCGTTTTCAGCACTCTCCCTACCAATTCGAAACGTGCCTATTTTGATCATTGCAATGAGCGAGTATAAATCACGCGCTTCATTTATGTAATTGGTTCTGATAATCTAGACATTGGGAAACCTTAAAACCACTCATCTTGGAATACCACTTTTAAGGTTTCCATTAGAAATACTTCTAACGACTTCACACCTTCCCCATCTGCTGTAAACAAAGGTATAAAAATAATAATGGGTTTTTTAATTATAAAAATTAATAATAAACACTATAATTTCACACAACATCTATCAATTCTTTATATTTATTTAATTTAATTAATATTTATAAATTGAACTACTCACTAATAATGGTAATTTTTCTCTTTAAGTTTAATAAAATAAAAACTCTGCATCAACTCTAAATAGTGTTAAATTCTCCTTTCAAAAGTTTTAATTTCCAATGTGATCCTCTCAATTTAAAAAATTAATCTTTATAATTTTGCATAGAAAATATTCAATTTTAAAAATAAACATACAAATATTAATATTATTATTTTAAATATCACCGCAATAAATGAACCTAAGATCTAAAAGTTATTAAATTTACTCAAATTATAAATTTAAAATTTTAATTGATACATAAATAAATAATAGTTATCAAAAAAATTCAAATCCAAAATATAATATTTGATTTCTTAATAATTTTTTTAGCAAATAGTATTAAAACATAATATACACTTATCACCTCTCTTTTCATGACAGGTTCTCTTTTATATTTGATTCCCATAAATAGAAAAAATTGAAAATTATATAAATATAGTAGTGACTTTTGTCTTAAAGCTCCTTAGTCTTTCCATATAAAGAATAAAACTGCATCAAATACCTCTTTCTACAAATCTATACCAACATCTATAAACGGTTTCTCAACCTTCTTCATCTTCTTCTTCCTTTCCTCCTTACTCCTTTACTTTTCAAGTAAGTCACTTTTTCTTCTCTATTTTATCTTCCTCAATTATTTTTCCTTTTTTTTATATTTATTTTTCAAAACATTATTAAATATATTTTACTCAAAAAATTATTGAATATTCCTTGGTGATGGATCTTAATAAGAAGAGTATTTGACTACTGATCTAGCAGGTGAAAGAAACCCTAATCCAGAAAACTATTGAGATGGGAAGAGGAAAGATTGCGATTCGAAGGATTGATAATTCAACAAGCAGGCAAGTAACTTTCTCGAAAAGAAGAAATGGATTGTTGAAGAAAGCAAAAGAGTTATCCATTCTCTGTGATGCTGATGTTGGATTGATTGTTTTTTCAAGCACTGGAAGGCTCTATGATTATTCCAGCACTAGGTATTCTTTCTTTCTAATTCTTTATTTTGCTTTTTTATTATTCATCTCAAATCTCTTTTTTTTACTAGAGAGAAAAATAAATATATATATAATTTATAAAATGGGAAATCAAATAAAATAATTATATATGTCTGTTGTGATTGTTCTGATGCATTATTAGGAGCTTTTATGGCATTAATATATTTCTTATGATCATATAATAAAACATATAAATAGGTATTTATCTTCATGATTCTGACCTTAACTTCTAAAATGAGAATAATTTTATACTTAGGACTAAACATTATATATGCAGGTATTTTAAAGTGGCACAAAATCTCATATTGTACTATAAATATTAATATATGGATATATAGGTTAAGGTATTGAAGTGTAGTTTGGGAATCTAATTTCTGTACTGAACACTATCACCAGAACGCAGGTGCATTCCTTTTCTTTTGAATTTTTCAAAGCAATGGTTAATAATATTAGTAAAATCTTATAGTAGAATAATAAAACTTTAGTATATGTTTTTTCTTTATCTACGCATGCATTGTCCCTAATATGAAAAGTACAAATTGTGCAAACTAATTATGCACAAACAGAAAGATGAGGAAATGGTAGATTTAGAATGTCAGAAATTTACTATGATTTATATATATGTAAATGTATTATTGAGGTACCTAGACATGAATATCAGTAGTTTCATCCATTACATGTTTAACATGATATTGAACATGAATATTCACATGTGATATAGTGCACTAAACCAGTAAACTAACTCGTTTTGACACTTCATAGGCTTAGAGAGCTGCATAGAGGCTGCAAATAATTAGTTAGTAGTTGGCATTTTAAATGTGGACAAAGTACTTTTATACATGGAGGAGTAAGAGGAACATATTACTAGTATTTTCCTACTTAAAAAAATTTGGTTGAATCTAACTCAACTTTACAAAATTGATTTGTAGGGTGAGGAGTGACCTCACTTATAAGTATATGTTCGGACTATATATCATTTGATGTGAGATTCTTAACACATTCTCTCACGTTTAAGACTAAATAGCTGGAACGTGAAAATAAATGATGGATGGTTTGATAACATAAACCATAATAGATGGTCCACTGGATCTTAAATGAGGTTTTTTGATATCATGTTAAGAGATGTGGTTGAATAACATAAACCATAATAGATGGTCCACTGGATCTTAAATGTATTGGTGGACCTATTATTCAATTCATAATTAAACACTAGAATAAAAATTAAAAAAAAATAGAAAATTGTTTCTCATTCAATAATCACTAATGGTTATTTTACATTTTGTTAATTTTACAATAAAGAAATGATAACTCTCAACATGAAATGATTTTAAAGTAAACAAAAAATTTGTTCATAGATAACTCTTCTGAAAGTACTGAATTTGATTTTTTTAGATACAACTATAAGATGATAAATATCACTTAAGAGAGGATAAAAAACCAATATCCTCCATTAGACATTATTATTTTGCGGACTTAAATTGTATGGAAAATTTCCTTTCATAGCATTAGAGAAAACATCCAATCTATAGAGTCATTATCTCTTTTGAAGGAAAATATTGTTTATACCATAAATATTTTAGAGTACAAGCATAGAGTGTAATACAAACATTTGATAAATTCATTCTCCATTTGCATTATCGGTTTGTTCAAAGGTCTTGGGTATTTATGTAAGGGTAAGTCTCTCAAAACTTTGACGTGATTTTGATTTGGCATGCGGTAATTTGAACTATTTGTAGGTCTCATAATAATGTTATTTTTAGAATAAGAGCTCGTTTGTTTCTCACGAGATCATGTCTATTTCTTGAAGTAAGTTTAGTCTCATTTTTTCAAACTTCTCTCTCTTGCTGTTGGATTCAAAGCAGAAACCTCTAAGGTGTTTAGGTTTAGAAAAGTGTGTTGGATGACCAACTACGTCTCTCAATATTTTTGATATCTTTCCAACCTCCCCTCAGCTTGATGGTTTATAAGAGGTAGTTTGAAAGTGGTGGGATGAAAATCTTTATTTCTTGCTTTGCTAATCTTCTTCTTAGTCTCTCTTTTATTTTGTAAGTGATGAGATGAAAAAAATTATTTCTTGCTTCACTAACCTTCTTCGTAGTCTCTTTCTTGTCTTTCTTATAGTTTTTTGTAAGTTTCAAATGTTTTTACACTTGGATCAATCATTAAAATATTTTTCTAACTTTACTCTAAACACTTTCATCTCACCATTAAGACTATTTACCGTAAGATACAAACTCTTAATTCTCCCAATGTCTCTTTTGATACTTTTCTAATCCATTGTGTCATCTTATATCACATATTATTTGTGTTTCTTTGTGGCAGGCTGAAACCTATCTTGAATATTTTTTGTTCGGAGATACTTTTTTCTCTCTATGTTAGGTAGTCAAGATGTCTTCAGGTGTAACTTCACAGTCCAAACAACCCTACAAAACTTTACCCAGGCTCTGATATCATATTAGAGTTTGGGCTAACACAACCCTAAAAAACCGGTTAGTAAGGTGAGGGGTGTCACTTTATATAAACTATTTCAATGCTCTATCTCCAACCAATGTGAGACTTTAAGATCTTCCAACACACTCCCTCACGCCCAACACTCTTTTTGGGCTTGGTGCGTGGATTTAAACGGTGGGTTGTCCAAGTCTGATCGATAAGCTCTGATACCATGTTGAAATACAAGAGACTAAGAGACATATGAATAAATCGTGTGTTTTGAAAAGCACTATGGAGACATTATTATATAGATAGATTACAACTAATTAAATGATATAGTCGATGTGGGACTATTCTATATACAAATATTCTTAACACTATATATATTTACAAATATCAACAATTCCTATCTAATTTCTTAAAAAGAAATCTTTTTTTATGCGAGAGCACGTCTCGCCATTTTTGTATGTGATAAGACGATCTTATCTTTTCATAAAGTATTTATTAGCTATAGTTATATCAAATTTTGACAAAAAAAAAACTAGGATTGATTTACTCTATGCATTAATGTCTTTGAGGCCATTTTTCTCGTCAAAGTCTTGAAAACTTATACACTCTTAACGTACCGATTTAGATTTGATCATAAAAAAAATCCTCCTTATGGTAGATACTGAAATAAACCTTCTTACTTCTCCCAAAATGTAATTCTAAGATGTTTTGCTAATCTAACTTAAGATGCACATTTAATAATAATAATAAAGGTGTTTTGTTTTACTATATATTTAATAATAATAATAATAAAGGTGTTTTGTTTTACTATATATATATATATATATATATATATATATATATATATATATATATATATATATATATATATATATATATATATATATATATATATATATATATTTTAATGTTATGATCTAATTCCCTATCCTTTTTACAACCATAATAATTTCTTTCACTCCTTATAAATAATAATTCGTAGCTCATTTCTCGATCTAATGTTACCACTGTATATCTACATAATATTCTCTCTCGTATCATCAAAATATTAAATGTAGAGTCTGTATCTTAATCAATTTTATTCCGGTATAATTTTCTCTTAACATTCACACACCACTAAAAAATAGTAAAAAGTTGTAAAAGACAATGACTACTAAAACTCGGGATATAAAAACTCGGGGTTTTGATTGACCCACCTAACTCTGTAAAACACAAATTTGAGTCTTAAATTTTGAATCCGAATTTTTTAGCCTAACATGAAAGACTCCATTACCCAAATTGGTAATCATTTGAAGTGCATTACTATAAATTCTAAAAATTATATTAACATTTATGGTAGCTCACTAAAAAAACAATACACTTTTTCAGTTCACTAAGTTTTTTTCAACTATATTCAATTTAATCTCTCTATGTTAACTATTATACATTAATATAATAAATTTATATGCCATGTGAGTGAAGTTTGATTCTTACTATGTCATATTATACTTTTTACTTCTTTTAAAGATAAATTTATATATTTGTACATTTATGAGACTCTTAAGAAGGAAAAAAAAATAAAATCAGACACATTGTAATATCACATGATGATAATAATAATAATGCCTTAACTTAATCTCATAAAAGATGATTGATCGAACACTGCCCTTCATCACTCATAAAATAAGACTAAAATATTTATACAAAATTTTCAACTTGCTTCTTTACTAAATTAGTTTTTAATTGTTTGATATTTCTCATTACAACTTCCTTATATTCCATTAGTTTGTGTTGTATTTTGATATTTGTGTGTTGTTTTGAAAATTTTTAAATTTAGATTGTATTTAAAAATATGATATACTATTTTTAAAAAATTATAATACCCAAAAAAGTATTTTATTTAAAGTGATATTTGGATTTATAATAAATATTACGAAGATTTTATTTTGTTTTTAAATAAAAATATAGAAATAATTTGTTTATGTTAGTATAGAGTTAGACTCGTATAACATAATTTGAGTCTACGTTAAAACAAAAAATTTTAAAACTTGTCTTATAAAATTTTAGACTTATTTGAATCGACTTGTCGGGCCGACTCATTTTATCGACTCTAGACCTAAAAGTCAAATAGTAATTCACAAAGTGGAAAAAAAATCAATATCTAATAAAGAAAAGTCTTGTATCTATGTGAATCTCCACTTCTCTTAATCCCAATAACCAAGAATAATCTCAAGAATGCCAATTTGGTTATGATTGTGCCTAGCTAAATATCATGTCAAAAGATAATAGTCTCATGTACCCATTTGTTTTGACAAAGTTCACATAAAACAATATGAACAACAATATCTACCAAATTCCAAAAGGCATAAGGCTTTTCTTATATCAACTTTATTCGAAAGAAATTCTCTGAACCATCATTATTAGAGGTGAAAATAGACTAGACTAGATTAGGTTTTATAAAGTCTGAGTTTAGTCTACGATAAACTTATAAGATTTGAGTCTGAGTTATGACCTACTATAGACTTTTTTTTGTCTGATCCAACCTTTTTAATAGTTTGACATAA